CCACGCAAAAAAACCCAAACTCGGTGGTAAATTCTGAATATAACCACTGCACGGTCGACTCGAAACACGAGGAGACCGGAAAGAAAACGGCAGCGAGCCCTGGTGCTGTCATTACATCTATATATTGCTAAATACATTGAAAATAAAAGACAAACATGCATGAGGGAAACGAATTACAGTTGTAAAAGGTGCCGCCACGAAAACCAACTGGTTGCGTAGTGGCGCCAGATTTTAATTTCTTTGTTGTGAAAAATACTACACACAAAGGGCAAAAAACAACACGAGGGTAAAAATGACAAGGAAAACTTATTCTACCAGCTACAATGTTGGATGCCGTGCAGCGGCAAAAACCCAAGCTAAAAATCCGGACAGGAAAAAAAAAGCAGGCGATCCAGCAGAGCTCGCTAGATTTCATCTCCACTCGAGGCGGAGAGAAATTAAGAGTGATGGACGGCTACCTGTGGCGCTGCCAGGTGGCCTCGGTCACGTGGGTTCGTGACGTAAGGGGTAAAAGAGTCTTGAGGTCATGGGGCTTCCCCTGACCTGGATTCTATCTCTCCGTCACCGGCAGAATCGCTGATTAATGCCTACAGTTCAAAATAGTCATTTTGACTGACCGGAGTCTATGGTGGGTAATTGAACGTAGTGAATTAAGTTTTCACCAATGCCTATTGACTAGGTTTCCACCAATGCCTACTGACTAGGTTTCCTCCAATGCATATTGACTGGGTTAAAAGTAAATTCCATTTCCTACTGACTTTGTTTTCACCAATTCCCATTAACTGGGTTTTCCACCAATGCCTACTGACTGGGTTTTCACCAATGCCTACTGATTGGGTTTTCAGTAAATTCCAATTTTAACTGACTTGGTTTTCCGCAAATCCCCATTAATTTACAGTAAATTCCAATTCCTACTGACCGATTTACCGCCAATTCCCATTAATTGGGTTTTCCACCAATGCCTACAGACTGGGTTTTCCACCAATGCCTACTGACTGGGTTTTCCACCAATGCCTACTGACTGGGTTTACAGTAAATTCCCACTAACTGGGTTTTCCACCAATGCCTACACATGCATACCTGTTCACAGTAGAGTACAGCTAAATTAACCAGAGCTGTAGCTACACTGGGATGGGCAACACCAAATGACTTTTCACGAATACCAACAGCTTGTCTGTAAAGTGGTTCTGCTTTACCAAATTTACCCTGCAGAAAAGCACAACGAATGTAATAAGATCAAGATTAAACTAGAACAAAATAAGAGAATTGTCAAGTAATAAAGTAACATTCCTGTAATATCTTCCTAAACTGTCACATTTCCATTTATTTTGATGCGGTTATCAATCAGTGAGTATCAGCAGGCAGTGTACAAAACATCACATCAGTTTTAAGTGTACGTGATATTTCATTCTCACCTGTTTCTTATATAAGACAGCAAGGTGCTTGATAGTTGATGCAACACTGGGGTGATCGACTGGATATGATTTCTGTCTTATTTCCAAAGCTCTTTCATATAAAGGTTCTGCTTTACTGTATTCTTTTCTATCATTGTATAAAGCAGCTAAGTTATTTAGAGATTGTGCTACATCTGTGTGATCACATCCTGATACAGATACTCTCATGTCTAAGGCTTTCTTGAAATAAGCTTCAGCAGTCCTAGAGAAAATACAGAGAATATAGAGAAACAGGTAAGTCATGTATACATCTATTTGTCAACATGCCCTTATGGATATACCATGTATTCAGCAAACAACCTCACCACCAGGAGCCATCAGTCAATATAAAGGACCATCAAACCACCATACATCAAGACACAAACCATCAGTCACTATACAAAGGACCAGCAAACCACCATACATCAAGACACAAACCATCAGTCACTATACAAAGGACCATCAAACCACCATACATCAAGACACAAACCATCAGTCACTATACAAAAGACCAGCAAACCACCATACAACAATACAAGACACAAACCATCAGTCACTATACAAAGGACCAGCAAACCACCATACATCAAGACACAAACCATCAGTCACTATACAAAGGACCAGCAAACCACCACACATCAAGACACAAACCACCAGTCACTATACAAAGGACTAGCAACCACCATACATCAATACAAGACACAAACCATCAGTCACTATACAAAGGACCAGCAAACCACCATACATCAATACAAGACACAAACCATCAGTCACTATATAATGGAACAGCAAACCACCATACATCAAGACACAAACCATCAGTCACTATACAAAGGACCAGCAAACCACCACACATCAAGACACAAACCATCAGTCACTATACAAACGACCATCAAACCAAAATACATCAAGACAAGACACAAACCATCAGTCACTATATAATGGACCAGCAAACCACCATACATCAAGACACAAACCATCAGTCACTATACAAAGGACCAGCAAACCATCACACATCAAGACACAAACCACCAGTCACTATACAAAGGACTACCAAACCACCATACATCAAGACACGAACCATCAGTTACTATACAATAGACCAGCAAACCACCATACATCAATACAAGACACAAACCATCAGTCACTATACAAAGGACCAGCAAACCACCATACATCAATACACAAACCATCAGTCACTATACAAAGGACCAGCAAACCACCATACATCAAGACACAAACCATCAGTCACTATACAAAGGACCAGCAAACCACCATACATCAAGACACAAACCATCAGTCACTATACAAAGGACCAGCAAACCACCATACACCAATACAAGACACAAACCATCAGTCACTATACAAAGGACCAGCAAACCACCATACATCAATACAAGACACAGACCATCAGTCACTATACAAAGGACCAGCAAACCACCATACATCAATACAAGACACAAACCACCAGTCACTATACAAAGGACCAGCAAACCACCATACATCAAGACACAAACCATCAGTCACTATACAAAGGACCAGCAAACCAC